GCAAACAGTAAGTGGTGGGCCACGAGTCAAACCCAGGTCTCCTCCTAGAGCCCACGTGCTTTCTTTCCCGACTAGGCAGGAAGAGCCTGGGGGAGGGCTGGCCAACTCTAGGGCGGCAGGTCTGTGGGGGTGTGGAGAATGACTGAGCCGTGCGGGGAGGGGCCTGGGCCGGGCAGCCACTCCGCCCGCCCGCCGCGGGGTCTGGAGCCTGGGGTGGGGTGCGGCCCGGCCCCACGTGCCCGGAGTTCATGCCACTGCCCGGGAGGGCCCACGGGTTAGATTCCAGAACTGGTCCTGCCTGCACGAAGGCGCGGCCAGAAGTCGGTGGCCGGCCTAAAAGCGTGTCTAAAGGCACGCCAGGGGGCGGCCCGGCCGGCAAACGACCTCGGGAGGGCCTCTCGCATGGCCGCCGGCGCCCTACCCGCCGAGACTCGCTTCGTCAGCACCTTTCCCGCAGTGGATCTGGGCTCGGCCCCACAGTGGATCACGAGGCGGGCGCTGCAGCGGGCGCTGGAGCGGGCGCGGCCCGGTCAGTCCTGGCGGGGTCCTACACTCTACACCACCCCTCCCCCATCCTCCGTCCCGCCCCCCCGCGTGCGCCACGTCCGCGGCCCCGCCCCGCGAGCCACGCGGGGAACCCCAGTGTCGTCACCACCCTCTTAGCCATCGCCTTCCCGCGCTCTCCAGAAAAGACGCGAAGGTGGTTACGTGTCCAGGGGAACCACTGCGGCTGCGCAGGAGGCCTCAACACCGAACGTCGTGCAGCGCCGCCTGGTGGAAGGAGAGTGGTCACACCGGCCGGAAGCGGCGGCGCAGGCGAGAGAACGTGACCGACGTCATCTCGCGGAGGCGAGGGCGACAGCCGCGTGACCTGCTCCCGCCCGCTGCGCTCTGCGTCTCTCTCCTCCTCCTTTCAGTAGAGGATGGTAGCTTTATTTGCATGCCCCGTCTTTTGTGGTGGTAATCTTGCCTTTTTTCGAACTTATCAAAGTAAGTGTTCATTATAGAAATTTTGGGAGAATGATGGAGAAAATGAATACCAGCACCCCTCCCTTTCATATTTACTTCCAGCTTTTTTTCTTTTTTCCGTTAAACAAAATTGTGATCTTGCTGTATCACAGTGGTATTAGGTACAAAAATTCTCAAGAAAGGACAAAGCACCATTAGAGCCTTAAGGCTGGGTAAGAAAAACACGGTAGAGAGGAAGAAGTGCAAACAATAGGCGAAAGGGTACTGGCTAGTTATTTAATGAGCGTTTTTCATACAGTGTCTTATTTAATATGTACATGGTTCAAGTGAGAAAACGGGCTCAGAGGATTAATAAGCAGGTGGCAACGTGGGGGTTTGAACCCAGGGCTTAAAATTTTATCCTTAGGATTGTGAGTGTGGGGAGGACAATGAAAAATATGGTGCTGAAGAGAAGGCAGAAAAACCGCAGGGAGTGTATATGGTTACATACCCAGTCTACTTATGGGGCTGTCGGGTTGGAACTAGATCCGAGGAGCAAGGGTAGTGTCTCCATCAGTAGGAGCAACTTTGTGGGAGGATGCTATAAAGCAGTTCACACTAATACACTGCCTTGATACACCTAGCTTTCTGCTAGCTTAGTGCCCTAGCTACACGCAAGGGCCACTATTTGCTGTCATTGACCTCCAGCACTGCCCCAATCCGTGGCAGTGAAAGGTGTGAGTCATAATACCAGCCCAGGAATTACCTCTTGCTACTCAAAGTGCAGTCTGGAGTCCACCAGCCCCTCTACAGTTCAGTACTTTCTGCATCCAGCTTGATAACAAATAGAGAATCTTGGACCCCACCCTAGAACTTCTAAATCAGAATATGCATTCTTACTAGATCCCTGGGTGATGCCTATGCATACTGAAGCACTGTTGTAAAAAAAGGCATTCTCCCTTGGCAAGGCAGGTGGGATGGTAGAAAAATGTGAAGGGAGCTTGCAGATCTGGATGATGGGAGGGCGGGCAGACAGGGTCTGTAAGGAGGTTTAACAAGAATATCAAATAAGGAGTATCAGAAAATGCCACAAAATGCAAAGGAGGAAAACTAGGAAATCAGAAACTGGGAGATATAAAAAAAGAAGAGAGAAATAGTTTGGGGTAAAAAATTCACACACACAAAAAACAAGGGCTGTTCTCTGTGACTGACTTTTTTGTGTTGTCTGTGACTTATGCTTGAGAGGGACCAATTCACTCAAGGTACTAGAGGAGAGCAGCCCCTGCCCATTTCCTCACTCTTAGCAGATAGAGTGGGCTTTCCTTGGGTTCTAGAGCAGGACAAGTTCTGGACTCTGTCTGTCATAGGTTGCAGTCTGTACGTGGCCGGGCTGGGGGTTGGAGAATGTGTGATGTGTGTGTGGGCTAGAGGGAAGGGCAGGTTATTGGCAGACCAGACTTAACAGGAATCAATGAAAGATGGGGTGGACTTATGTGATTGAAGATTGCTGGTACCTTGAGAGAGCCAGGTAGCAGGCCTATAGACCTTTGCTTAGGTGGGTAGTTCTTGGAGTCATATTTTCTGGAAGTCTCCTAGTGGCCTATCACACCTCTAAATACTAGCAAGCTACTGAAATGACAGCAGTTCTGATAAGACATAAGGACATGATAGGTTAGAACCAAAATGTTCAGGTTGGAGGAGTAGCAAGTTGTTCTCATGATGCCCACAATGTTAGGGGCCCAGCCATGTTGCCTGGGAAAAGAAGTTAAGGCAGTGTCCCTCTCAGACCCATTAATAATACAGTCAGTCTGAGGATGATTAGTCTGTGCAGTACACAGGTGGCTGTGCAGACATGAAAGATTTTGAGCTATTGACTCCAGAATATAAATGGTCTCTTCAGTGTAGAAAGGCAGCAGATGGGCAGCCTGTAGAGACGGCAGATTCCAATGACTAATGAAAGAGGTGTGCAAATGAATAGTACTAGATGGAGTGTGTATGGGAGGGGAAGTAGGTGGGTGCATGGTTTGAAGAGCACTGTTCTGGTGGGAGTACCTAGGACCAGTCTGGTAGAGCATGGAATGAGTCTGAAATGAAGTCAATGCTGATGGTGTCGGGACACTGGGAGTGGGTATAGAGGTCCTGCTGGTACTCCTGGTAAAAAGGGTGTCAAGTTAGAAAAAAAGGGTATATGTCACTCTGAACTCCATTCCAGATTTTGATGGGCTGAAGTGGTCCTGGGTGAAGACCTTAGCACTTGATTGGGGGCCTCTTTGGGTAGATCATCTGCCTCAGCTGTGTGTTTTATGGCCCCTGTGGTTCTCCTGAGTCAGTCAAGCATTGCTAGACCCAGGCATTTGCCTGTCACTTGGTCTGTCATGGTCAAAAAGGCTGTGATCAATGTCCTCAAAATTGTCAAGTTGAAAGATTTCTCAGAATGGGCCAACCACCATGTTTCTTTGAGTGTTCTTGCTTTTCAGGCAGGCTCTATGCCTCACCTAGTTTTAATTTATCCTCTTCTCCATACCTATCCACCTTTCCTCTCCTTAAAGCCCAGTGCAAGTTCTAAGTTCTCTATGGACTTCCCTGGATTCTCCTCAAGGATTTCCCCCAGTTTGAAACACTTGGGAGCTCTCCACAAAAGCCAGTCACTCAATTGTACATGTTAGACAACAGTTAATTTGCCTGCCTATCCCCCTCTTTTAGGGGCACAGCTCCCTCTTTACCAAGAACACTCACCCCCCCCCCCCCCCACACACACATAAACACACAAATCAGGCCAATTTCATTTCTTGGGAGTTTTTGCCCTTTGGATCAGGAAGAAGAGAGCAGTCAGTCCTGCTCTAATGTGGAAGCCATACTTGCATGTCAGAAGCCAGAATCCTACCAGAATCTCTAGTAGAGGCAGAGATGGGTCAGATGGAGCCTGGCTCCCTGGGTTCTGAGGCCTAACTACACCCCAGCTCTACCAGAATTGGTTGTCCAGCCCTATTTTAGTGTCTACAAACTAGTCAGTCATTTCCTATTTTTGCCTAAACTGATGAGAGTTGGGTTTTTGTTACCTGCAATCAAAAGAAAACCAAGAGACTACTTCATACGGATTTTTCTTGTCTTCCGAAGGTCAATGAATGATAAGGAATTTATACAAAGCAATGTGATAAAGCAGAAAGAATATGTACTTTGAAGTAAAACAAAACATTTTTAATGCTGTTTCCAGCAAGATACTTAATCTCAGAGAGGCTTTTCCTTTAACTTTATAAAAGAAGGGGTAATATTTAAAACTCAAAGAAAAATTAAGACTAAATGAGAAAAATAATTAAGTAGGAATGCATATAAAAGTACCTGACACATAGTAGGCATATAGAAAATGTTCGTTCCCTTTTCTCCTTGAAAACAGGCTTTCACTTCTGTATCTTTCATATCTCCATTCTGCAGTCACTGAACTCAGAAATAGGAATTGAACTTTACCAGATGTTAAACTTTTCAGAGAATAAAGAGGGAAATAAATATCAAGTGAATAAGCAATTACAAGCATTAGTTTGATTTGTCAATATTTACCTTGACACCCAGACCTCTTTTTTCCTAATTTACTATAAACTAAATTCCCCTAAAAGGTTTATAATTTTAAAATCAGGCCAACGTGAGGTATAATTTGGAAAAACTAGTGACAATGTGCTTTATTTGATAACAGAATAAAAGGGCATGGCTGGAACTCTTGCCAGGATGGTCCTTAACATTCTTCCTAACTAGGGTGTCATTAACTTTCCAACATTGTTTGTATAAGGTAGAGTGTTGCTAATTACTACAAAGGTTGAAACAAACTAAAGGTGAATTCTTTAAGAAGGAAAATGAGCTGGTTTTCTTTTTGCTCCTTTAAACACTAGCCAGAAATACCTCCCCATTTATAATGAAGACTATACACAGCAGCACCAAAAAGGCTATTTACAAGAAGGGTTTTTCTTCAACAGAATCCACTTAGATGTGTTAAGAAATTGCATCTTAGCTAAAAGCAGTTCACTAAGGAACAGGGCCATCTAAGTACCTAACTGGTATTTGAAGTTGTCAAGGGTTGGGGATGTGCAAATTTAGCAGTAAAAGACTATTGTTTTGCCTTAAGGGAAAGTGATGGTGGTCAGAGGGGCCAGTTCCAAGGGTTGGTCCAGGGGGGGCCGCTGGTCTTGGTATTCTGCCACATGCCCATTCCGGTGGTGACCATACTCAAACTTGATCCGCAGCTCACCAATCTTGGATTGGGGAAGGATATCTGGGATCCATTCGATGATGAAAGGGGTTGGCTCCTTTTGATCTGGGGAAGTGTTGCCTGAAGACAAAAAAAAGAACAAGAAAGGAACACTGATTAGTACAATTCCAAAATTTGAGTCTGGACAGATCTTACTCTGTTTAGGAATAAAAAAGGAAAATAAATTTAAAAACACTGAGAAAGAAAACCAGGGAAAAATAACAACAAGAACCAAGGGAAGGCAAAAGCAATTACTGCTGTTACCTATCCAAAAGAAAATTTCAGGGAACTGTGTGACATCCTTGAATAAAATAAGACCCAGACGTTATGAAAATGGGGCCAAAAGAATCCTAAAACGACTGAGAGGAAAGGACAGCTGGATGAGATTAAAAGGGAGACTAGTAAGAAAAGGTCATTTCAGCCCTGGCTGGGTGGCTCATTAGGTTAGAGCATCGTCCTGTACACCAAAAGGTTATGGGTTCGATCCCCAGTCAGTGTGTGTACAGGAGGAAATAGGTAGATGTTTCTCTCTTGCATCAATGTTTCTCTCTCTCTCTCCCTTTCTCTCTAAAATACTTTTTTTTTTTTTAACAGAAAAGGTTTCAAGAAAACCAAAAGGAAATAGAATTAAAATATATGTGGTTCTAAAATATATATCAAATCCTTAATAACCAAAAGAGTGTAGTACTGCCATGTGTAGATAGATTAAAAGAACAAAACAGAAAGATCCAAAATAGACACAAATAGAAGAGAAATTTAGTATATGGTAAAGGAAACATTTTCAATTAGTAAAAGAAATACAAGTAAGTGTTTCTTATAATAAGTGGTGTGAATCAAGCAGATAACTAGAAGAAAATAAAAAGGTGGCAGAATCTTATCCAATACCTTACATCAAAATAAATTCTAGATGATCAAAGATATAAACATGAAAAACTTAGGTTAAAGAATGCTTTTGAGAAATCTAAAACACCAGCAGAATTTAAGAATGTGTTAACATTTTCAAAACTATGGAGACAATTAAGCACAGAAAACAATCCATTTAGCAAACCAGAAAACAAAACAAGAAGACAGAAGGCCAGTTATATCAATTATAATAAAGAGGATAAATTATTAAAATTGGAGAAAAATAAAAACGAAGTGTATGATGTTGATAAGACAGTCAACTAAAACAAAGTGTCACAGCCCAGCTGGTGTGGCTCAGTAGATTGAGCGACATCCCATTGACTGTGAGGTCTGTTCAATCCCTGGTTAGGGCACATGCCGGTTCAATCCCCATTAAGGGGTGTGCAGGAGGTAGCCGATTGATGTTTCTCATATCTCTATTTCTCTCTCTCCCTTCTCTCTCTCTCTAAAAAAATCAATAAATTAAAAAATAAAGTATCACAAAAAATTTAAAAGTAAAAGGATGGCAAACAAAAATGAAAAAAACTGGTGTCACTGTTGTAATACTGGATAAAAAAACTGTAGGACAAAATTAATTTTTACATTGATAAGGTATTGCCATAGACTTAATGTTTGTATCCTCCCCAAATTCATAAATTGAAAACCTAATCCCCAACGTGGTGGTGTTTGGAGGTGGGGTCCTGGGAGGTTGTTAGGTCATGAGGGTGGAGCCCCGAAGAATTAGTGCCCTTATAAAAGAGACCCTAGAGAGCCTTCACCTTTTTTGTCATGTGAGGACATAGAGAAAAGATTGCCATCTGTGAATCAGGAAGCCAGCCCTCACCAGACATCAAATTGGCCAATGCCTTGATCTTGGACTTCTCAGCCTCCAGAACTATCAGAAATAAATTTCTGTTGTTTATAAGCTACCCAGTTTATGGTATTTTGTTATAGCAGCCTGCATGGACAAAGACAAGTATATAATTTACAGTGACAATGTGAAGATTAATAAACAGAAAACCCGCCCTGGCCGGTTTGGCTCAGAGGTTAGAGTGTCGGCCTGCGGTCCCGAGAGACCCGGGTTCGATTCCCGCTAAGGGCACGTACCTCGGCTGCAGTTTGTCCCCGGCCCTGGTTGGTCATGCTGGTGGCGGCCACTCGATGTGTCCCTTTCACATCGATGTTTCTCTCTCTCTCTCTCTTCCTCTCTCTCCCTCCCACTCTATCCGAACAAAAAATGGAAAAATGTCCTCAGGAGAGGATTTAAAATAAACAAACAAACAAACAAACAAACAAACAAACAAACAGAAAACCCCCAGCTGTGGCTTAGTGGTTGAGCAACCCATGCACCGGGAGGTCCCCAGTTCAATTCCCAGTCAGAGCACATGCCCAGGTTGTGGGCCCAATCCCCAGTGAGGGACATGTAGGAGGTGGCCAATTGATGTTCTTTCCTTTTTTTAAAAAAAAATTTTTTTTCTTTATTGATTTTAGAGAGAGAGGAAGTGAGAGGGAGAAAGAGATAGAAACACTGATGAGAGAGAACATCGATTGGCCACCTCCTGCATGCCCCCCACTGGGGATCGGGCCCACAACCTGGGCATGTGCCCTGACTGGGAATCAAACTGGTGACCTCTTGGTGCATGGATCGATGCTCAACCACTGAGCCACACTGGCCTGGTGATGTTCTTTTTTGTTGATGTTTCTATCAGTCTCTCCCTCTCCCTTCCTTTCTTTCTAAAGTCAATTAAAAAATTTTTTTAAAAAGAAAACAAAAACAGAAACCTCATTTAAATTGGAGTTGGAAGAGCCTAAAGTGGGGGCAGTCAGGGCTCTACCATTCATTGTCAATTGTCCCAAACAGGAAAAGACTACTTTCCATCTCCAACAGGAAGATGTGTTTCTATTCTACTACGTCCAACAGGAAGAAGAAAAATCTTTACACCTGGCAACCACTCAGGCAATGCAAAAGACTGTTACAGTTCAGCCAATGAAAAGACATTACACTTCGAACTTTTAGTTTTCTCCAATGGACTTACTGTTTACAACGATCTCCTTTGACAGCCCCCTTTCCTCTATAAAAGAACAGTTCCTGCTCTGGCTGGTTTGGCTCAACGGTTAGAGCATCAGCCAGTGGTCCAGAGAGACCCGGGTTCGGTTCCCGCTAAGGGCACATACCTCGGTTACAGTTTGTCCCCGGCCCTGGTTGGTTGTGTGGGTGGCAGCCACTCGATGTGTCCCTTTCACATCAATGTTTCACTCTCTCTCTGCCTCCCACTCCATCTGAACAAAAAATGGAAAAATGTCCTTGGGTGAGGAAAAAAAAAAGAACAGTTCCTCCCCTTTGTTCTCTGGACTTGCACATGGTTTGCTATTAGGCTACATGTCCTAAACTGCAATCCTTTGCTGTTTCCTAATTAACCCATTTTTCTGGAGAAATATCTGACTTTAAGGTCAATACAACATCCATATTGATGTGTCCAAAACACTACATTACAATACTTAAAGATGTAATGCATCCAAAATATTCTTATATTTTAGAAATATAAGACATTTTGAAAAAACATAATTGTAATACAAAATTGTTTCATGACCTTTCAGTCTTTGGTAGGTCAGAGATAATAAATGACGATAAAGAAGACTTAATGAAATTATATGACTTATTTTAAAGTTATGTAAGACTTTATATTAGATAAATAACATCTATGCTAGCACAAATTCATATATTAAGTTAGTGAGAAAATATTTCTGAATTTCTAAAATAGAGACATTGAAAAGGTAGCAGAAAATAACTGAACCAGAAATTTAGAACAATTGGATAAACATAAAGGCCAATTCTTTGAAAAAAAAGAAAAAAAAACAGCCATAGAACAGACAAAATTCTGATAGTGTTTAACTTCTGAGTTACAATGGATTTTAAAAGTTATGTGACTAGGTTGTAGGTTTTATCCCTGGTTGGGGTTTGAACAGGAGGCAACCAATTGATGTATCTCTCACACACTGTCGTTTCTCTCTCTCTCTCTCTCTCTCGTTCTCTCTCTAAAATCAAAGTACAGCCTCCAAAAAAGTGAGAAAATAATTTCATTAAATAGTTATGTGATGATCATCTATACCAAAAATTATTAAAATGTACACTCCTGACTAAAAAAATAAACAGCCAGCTATTTCTCCAGTAAAATGGATTTATTAGGAAATAACAAAGAACTGCAATCAGATGGTGAACCACAGTAAGCCCAGAGATACAAAAGAGAGGATTGTTCTTTTAAAGACTTGAGAAGGGTGGCTCAGTGGATTGAGCAAGGTCCCATGGACTGAGAGGTCCTCATTGGATTCCTGGTCAGTGCATATTCCCAGAGTTGTGGGCTCAATCCCCAGTAGGGGGCATGCAGGAGGCAGCTGATCAATGTTTCTCACTTCGATGTTTCTATCTCTCTCCCTTCCTCTCTCTCTACAAAATCAATGAAAACATTAAAATAAAGAATGAAAGACAGACTTGAGAAGGGCTATTGTAAACGAAGAGTCCATTGGAGGAAACAAAATTAAAGTAAAATGACTTTTCATTGGCTGACTTTTCAATCTCCCACTGACTGAGCTGCTACTAGGCAAGAAGGAATCTCTTCTTCCTCCTGCTTAGGTAGTAAAATGCAGTAGTTTCACTTCCTTTCTAGTATTGGAGATGCAAAGTACCTCTCTTCCTCTTGGGGTCAGTAGTATGCATAGAGTGATGTGCATGCAAATTCTCTCTAGCTTTCAACTCCTGTTACTGTTTATTAATTTTTACAACATAATTTAAATTTGAGATGAAAATAGGTGAGTTTTGGGAAAAATATAAATGATCAAAATTGACTCCAGAAAATATATAAACAAACCATAAATACACGAATGTAAATCAAAAGAAACTGAACAGATTTTAGAGAATTGTAAGAAAGGGTTAAGTCCAGAGAATAATTTTTTTTTTTTCCAGAAAATAATTTTTTTAAACATTCATGGAATGGATATTTCCTAAACTATTTAATTTGTTCCCAAACTTTCCAAAATCATTTTCTATATAACTTTTAACAAAATCCAAAACATAAGATAACCTCCAAAAAAAGAAATTGTAGGCAACTATCACTATGAATAGATAACCAAAAATTCTAAATAAAACATTAGCAAAAAACATTAGAATATATATTAACTAGGATTTATTCCAGAAATACAAG